CTCTCCTATGCGGGTTCGAATCCCGCCGAATGCCGCACGTTTTTTCACAATTGGGTCAACTAAAATAAGTTAAAATCGAAATGCACCCCCCGTTTGAGAATAAAAATTGAAGATGACGTGTTTATCAAATAAGTACAAGAAGGGATATACATGGGCTTGTTTTCTTTAAAGTATACTTAAATTTTAATGAGTATGGAAAATCAGTAGAAAATTAATCCTGCTTGTGACCGACCGAAACTTTTTCAGACGACAGAAAAGGAGTGCATCGGAAAGCCGTCAGAGGATTATGCTGCATGATAATTAATATTACAAGCCATATTCCAGTATTTCTTCCTAATCGAAAACTCACTTCAGAGCTTCGGTTAGCATTTTATGCGGTCGATCGCTGACTGTATGCATGTGACCTTCCAGGCCCATTGTTCCTTAGGAGATAGGAGAGAAGACGGCGGGAAAGCCAGAATGTTAGGAATAGTGTATTCGGCAGAAGGAGAGGAGAATAGATGGAAAGAGTCTTGGCTCTCGGATGACCAAGGCGTCAATTCCGGAGTGACGAAAGCGTCGGGAATAGCCGGATGGCCGGCGCATGCTTTGTTACAGTAGCCAATCAGGTGTCTAATGTCTAGACTAGCGGTAGGGCGCGACCTTGAGATGAGCGAAGGCTGGCGTGCATGCGCGGGCCTTGCAGGCCAAAGGCGTCATGCGTCCGCGGCTGATCTTGGGTTCCCAGTGACTGCTAGAGTCCACTACACCCATTTGGGTCTCCCTCGTTAGCATAAACCACAAGTCGCTATGCGTCTGCCTGTGAGGGCCCTAAATTGAGCTTCCATCCACCAGTAGTCATATTTGATGAATTTTGCAATTGACACTCGTTGATGCACGTTCACCGACCGCTAACGGAACTGCCTTGTCCCGCTCCACCTTTGCCTTGGGCCTCACTAGCTGCTGCAGCTGTTTCCAGGGCCCGAGAAATGAGACCTAAGGCTAAGTGGGACAAGTGACTTCTGTCAGCAGTCCATGCACATCCACCAAAGAGTGCCAATAACTTCTGACCTAAGCCGGCAAGACAAGGAGCTGATGGCTCAATGGCTAGGGCGTTAGACTCTGATCGTGAAGGTCGCGAGTTCGAGCCTCGGATGGGGCACCACTTGGGGCTGGGTGTGACTAACAGACGATGGCTAACAGGCCAGAAATACTTCTTTCAGTCTCTATTGTCTTTGCCAGCTAAACTGTCTGAGTTTACAGTTGTAACACGTTCATGTCTTCATTTGGCACTCACGGGACTGCGCCCGTAATTATTCGAACTGGCGGATGAAACCATACGGGGCTGGGAGTGTTTCAAACGTGTCGCTAACAGTGGATGCTTTGTATATAAACTCTGCTTTGAAAGAGAGCGAGAGAGAGAGAGAGCCACCAGCCGCGTTAAGGCACGCGTGAATGGGTGCCTTATTTCAGGTCAACCACTATTCAGAATCCTGCCTGCAGCCTTTTTGACCGTAGTTCAAAATGGGATTGCAAAGAGAGGATAAAGTTGCTGAGGTCAGGAGGAGACACGATCGCTTTGCTTGGCGTTTCGTAATCCCACTTCAATCCATCATCATCAGAGTCGGACTCCGATATGTTCCGCATAAGTGCTGCAGTTGTTACGTGCCACTGCATACCTATCAGAATGGGCGCGAAACAATTGGTTGATTGCTGTCGGCGAAGTCCCTGATTGCGGAAACCTCATCACATTCGTTTAGGGTTACTCGGGTCACTTGGTTAATCAACAATGACATACGGAACGGTAGTCATCCTTGCGTGGCTAATATGAAGTGCGGAAGGTCATTGTTTTTGTTAGCCGACAGAGAGGGTCAAACGTTCGTAATTCAAGCAGTTCGCAGCTTACACGGTTCTCATCTGTCGGAAGAATCTCCACCTCAGCCGAGTCTGAGCGGCAACCGAAAAGCTGACATTCTTCAGCTGCAGCGTGTTCAGCCATCCGCATGCAGAGTAATCTTCCACGTCCGCCAAATCCGTGTGAGTACGAAACGTTAAGCGAACAAAAGCTCTTGTACCAGCGGTCGTGTCTCCTCGCCGATTGTTTCCTGGAACTCGACTCCTCACTGCTATCAGTGAAGTTGATTTCACAATAGTCTTATCAACAATGAAACCCCCTGTGCTTATTGTAGCTATGTGCCACTCTTTCCCCAGAATAATCGTCACTTTTTCGGTCGCTCCATTGCGTTAATACAGTGTCTTCCTTGTGTGTGTTTTCTTCTCAGCCTCCGACGCGTGACCGGGGATTTGGAACACTCACGAAAGATGAACCGACGGTTACAAGGTGATCTTGCGGCCGCCAACATAGTGAACAACCAGAACCGAGAGCGAGAACGACGTCTGGAAGCGGAGAAAACTGCTGTAAATGCTCAGCTTCGGTCTGCAAAGGACACGGTAAGTTCGATTTATCTCAAGTGGTGCTCCCCCTGCTATCCTGATTGAGTTGCGGTTGTTTGACGGAGGTCTTCGGAGTGTCCTTGCAAAGCTTTTATTCATTCACAATGTCTACGGGACCCGTAGCAACGTCTTCTTAGAATAATTGCTTTAGTAGGCTCTTAGCATTTATCCTTGCGACCTGGCCTCATCTTGGAAATGACTAGGCGGTGATCCAGTAAGCCATCAGTGTCACGTCCTATCGATCTCACTTCCGGACGAAAATGTGGCCCAGCAAGTGGCAGTGCCGCGATCCGGGGTGCATGCATGTTACCTTCG